ATGCTCTATGAGTTAGAATGAAAGTAGATAAACCGTTTTGTGGGACTTTGAGGTTAGATAAGTTTATATGATCTAGTTTAGATAGACTATAGTTCAACAGAAAAACTTCTTATTTTTAAAACACGTACCGATTTTAGTTATTCCAATGTTGAAAAGATATGCAGTTTGATCATATAGTAGGCGAGTGAGAATGCGCAGTTAACACAAGCAGAGGCTTATGAACTTTAAAAACCTTCTGTGAAACATTTTCTCCTACTACTTATTGGCAGTTAGCACATTTCAAAATTATTTCGGAGGTTTGTAGGGAACTATTGATTTCAAGTTGGTATTCATCGTGTACAGAGATTAGTTAAAAGACCACTGAAAACCTGAGAGTACTGGACAGTTAGTTCGTCCTAGTCCGTGACTCCTCAGCAGTATGCACTCATGATCCCGCCGGGAGTCGAACTCAAGCTCCGTGGTGACCAGGTTATCAATAAACCACTGGGTTGGAATGCTCTGGTCCACATTCTCCAACTTCTGTCGGTTTCCAATATTGCCGATCATTCTCTGTTTTCTTGACACATAATGCAAGAGGAAACCTGTTACACTGAGCTTACCCTTGAAACAAATTATTTTATGCTTGAATACACTAGCATAAAAGTACTTTTTCTTGACCAATAATTAACATAAGGTCCAAACGAATCTTTATTATGCCTGCTGCGGCGATACTTGAAGAAATTACAATAAACACCAGAACAATGTCTTCATGTCTCTAAAGTATTCCACAAGCTGTAGAATAATGGCTTCAATCAAATTTTATTTCCTGACTAAAATCATATGAAAAGGCGAATTACTCCAACCATTTAACCAAGTATCATTTAAGTCGTTAGCTCGACTATAAAATGTTAGTTTATGACTTCTTTACACCATGATTAGTTAATTATTTTAAATTTGTCAAAATTACTCTTCCTCATCCTACAAGTTACAGTATGGGAGGTTTTTATCAAGAGCGACAAATTTATGTTACGTGGTTAAAACTCATCTTGTTTTCATGTACTTCTATCATTGGTTAGAATGGTGGTTTATTATAAATGCATAATCTCAATAAAAACCTTGGTAGAGTGAAAATCAGGAAACATATATAAAAAGCATATTAGAATGCTTAGTTTTGCATTCACAATGAAATAGAAATACTAAGCAACATTTTTACTGGCTAAGGAAACTACAGGATAGGCTAATTACTGTTAATTCGATAAATAAAATATTAATAGCTTTGAATTAATGTCCTTGGGAATGAAATGATTCAGTGCAAAAGAAACATAAACTGAATGACATTAAGCGAAGCTTTGTAAAAAAAAAGCATTTTGAACCCCCTATAAATCACAGTTGGAGCACACGAATGACAATTCTTGACCGACATAAGTTTAGGCACTTTGGTTGACTTTCAAATTTTAGAAGTAAGTAGTGACTTAAACGTGGTTATTCGCTTCAGCTTATCCCATATCTACTATGATTGGCAGGCTTCATCGATGATTGCAGTACAGCATCCATTGATGATAGGCTTCCAGATGATACTTCCCAAAGTTCGAATGAGTTGTGACCAGTATTGCTAACTATGTAGGACGTGAGGACAAATACTCAATGATGACAGTGGATGAAGGGTGTGGTATGTCGTGAATTGACAGAGGTAAGAAAGTGCGGAACACTGCATTCCAACTTAGTGATTTAATGGTGAGTAACTCTTCATAAAATCTGTAAGCTCTGGGTTCAACCCCTGATGGGCGCAGACTGCCGAGGAGTTCCGGACTAGGACGAAACTGCTGTTAAATACTCCCAGGTTTTCAATGATTCTCTAATTAATACCAATCCTTGATGAATTCCAACTCATAGAGTTAAACTTGTTCTTAAAATGGTCGTGATTTTGGGGATGTACAGATTCCTCTTTTATAACTCTACTCAAGACTTTTGTTGGCATGACCTTCATATTTTACATTAGATCCTTGTGCACGGGTATGACAGAAATTTTTGCGGAGAAAATTAAATGAGTTCCCACCAAATCTTACTGGGACTGTTTTCACTACTACGTTTTTTGCACTGAACCGGAATATTAACAAGAATAGTTCGGAATAGCTTAAAATTTCTCTAGAATATCTAGTATATATTCAGCTTTAAACTTGACTCTTTTCACCGCACCATTCGATCTATTAAGGCATCTTTATTGGATTGTAAGTACTGAATCAATGTTTTGTTTCACCATACGATTCATAAGTAGTACGTACACCTAGCATTGTTTGTAATCTAGAAATGATGATTCGCTGGACAAAGCTGTTTATTCATGTCAGCGTGCCGTTTACTTAATACCTATGGACTGTTCACTAGTTCACAACAGATGTCAATTTTTCTGCCTAACGAGTTTTGATTTTTGAAGAAGACTGGTTGGAAATTGATTCTTGACTTGCAGATACTAATCAAACTAGAGCATTTCTACAGGAGTTAGCTTGGTTTAAAGTTCCACTTGTTTCATGTTAACCCTTTTGTCTGATAAAACAATTTTTTAAAGAACATGGTATACAAACAAGTTAGTATGTCACCAGGCACAGCAAATCGGTTCACATTATCACGACTAGCCAGAATAACCAAATGGTATGGCAATAAGAACGCATTATCAGAAACACCTGATTATCAGAGATTGGAAGTTTTTAAGTTTCTAAGTAATCAACGGTGTGTTTAACCAGTCTCAAAGAAGTTTTCTCCTTTACCTCAGAAATTAGAGAGCTCCTTCACAAACAGAAAAAGTAAAGCTTAGTTCTAATTTAACAGACTGTGAATCTGAAGAAATGCTGTAAATGATTTTCATCATAATTCGACTGAGTAAGTTTTGAGCTGTCATTGTAATTTATCTTAGGAGTTTTCAGCATTGTTGAGACATCCTATCAGAGATTCTTTCAGTCTTTAAACCAGGGAGATTTATCCCTAAGATGGACATTTTTATTCTTAGGTGTTTGCAGGTAGCAGAGAAAGCACTTAGTAGTACCTAGCGAGAAAGACTTTAATTACTTTAGTATATTAGGTCAATATTGTTTATGACGACCGTTAATGTCTTTTTTATGTAACAATGCCATAAGTGACTGTATGATATGAAAGAACTCACTACAGAGGGCAACCAGTGCAGTTCGCACTCGTAATTGATAATATCAATCTAAAAGTTAACGGATGCAGTAAATATAGGTTTCATCAGCATGAATTTTAACCAAAAGAAGTTGGTTTCGATTCTCACTAAACTGCTGAAGTTTGTGAATCCAGACAGCGCTGGAAATATACACCAATGTCATCGATCCCGTATACATGGAACTCTACGTAATTGATGAGTTTTGCTTCTTATTTTCAATGAGTAAAATACACACAGCGGGATAGTAAAAATAAAATTAATAACTCCAACAGGGAAGCACTTATATCTAAGTAACTAATTTGAAGATATTCAACCACAAATTTCCACAGTATATATATATATATATATATATATATATATATCAAACCAAGGAGAAGTGGACTAGTATTCCACTTTTGTCTGAAACTTTTAGTTCTAAGTATCTCCTAATTCGAAAGAATTCTACGATATGATTTTCAATTTTCAGAGTGGGTATGCGGTTCTCATGCTTTTTCCAATGAAATTTGACTATGTACGCTTTCTTATACATTGAAATCACTGAGTTCACAAATCAGCCTAATCAAATTTATGAATACATTTCATCTTTAATATTCATATATATATTTGAACAAGTATCATTTCTCATTAAGAAATGCGTATAAGAATTGGTCACCACTAGGTGACCGATGGAGTTGTCTGGTCCTTATTGCTTGCACTGATCGAAGTTTGTTGTTCCAGTTGCCACAATATGGCAACTATTTAAAGTAATACGACACTGCGGTGTATTGTAATTTGGTGTTAGGTGTGGTTAGCTAGTCAGCAGGAAGACACTGACCTCGGTTTCATGCTCGTCAGTATTCATGAACAAGGGATATCTGAAGCCATGAGGAAACCGTTGATTTTTCTCTCAACTTCTAACACCAACATAAAGAATTATAAAGAAAAAATTGTCAGTCATTCAAAGTAAACCAGTTCCAATCTAAGAAGTTGTACATTCTTGGTTCCATCACTTTGGTAGACGATTCCTAGGTACCAAATGCTACTGATGATGAAGGAGAAGAGAAAGTTTGCATCACAAGGACAAATCAACTCATGACGTAAATGTTTATTAAGAAAATAACTTCTTTCCTTGAATAGATAAACGTTAATCGTATGTCTACATACATTTCTGGCCATTTTGTTAATTCCAGTGTTACACCTCTAACATTCAGATAAAATAAATGTCTGTCAATTTAAATGGGGAAGAAAAAGTATTTATAACTGTATTATTTGCATTTACACATATGAATATACGTTTATTAATGTCTTCCCTGTGAAAAATGTTTGTCTATCTGTTTTATATGATAATTTCATGTTCACACCACGCAAACACACACGTTCATGAAAATGAAATAAACAGTTTTTGTCTAACCAACAGAGTCTTATTTTCTGTAAGTTGCTTTTACATTTGTGGCCAGAAATTCTGCCCATACTTCCCTTAACCAAAGAGGTTACAGTAGTCATACTGTCTTTTCACTCCATCAACAAATTTAAGGGGTTAGACATTTTCACCAATCATGAGGCAGATCACCACTTCCCGCTTCAGTGTTGTCTCACCTTGAAATTTGTAGGCTTTTGAAAAAATATCTTCAAGAGTGAAGTGGGTAAAAATAAACAAATCAAATAGGCACAGTAACATATTTAGAAGCATCCAATAACACCGAAATCCACACACCACCACCACAGTGTTGTAGCCGCGAAACCGACACATAAAATAACTGCCCGTTAACTTAGACATATACCAATGAGTGAGATGCTAGAAATCATCTGATCATCTTCACAACACCCTCCCTCAAAATAAATAGCACACTATCTTGGAATCACAATAGGATTTTTGTTTAGTGTCGAGCTGGTTTTGTTTCCTTCACTTTCTCTCTCTCTCTCGCTCAAATTCTCACTACTTCCAGCGTGATCACATTATGCATAGAGCATTATCCAATGGATATATTAGTAGGTCATGCGCGCAAACGCTCACATGTATACATACCGACAGTTATACTAACACGTAAACACTTCAAAACCATGATATCCGCAATTCAGCTATGTATCATGCACATATGTGTGTACGTTATATAAAAGCCATCTTAGAAATCAAAAGCCACAGTATGACAATTTATCATCATAATCGTCATTAGTACGCAAATCAAAAATTTACCTGTTAAAGTTTCACTTCTGCGTACAGTCAATAGGTGAACCAGATATCAGACATTCTTATTTTACGCACCATTTGCGTCTACATACAAAATTTGCAAATTAGTTAACCACTATTAACTCTGAACAATTTAAATTTCAATTTCCTCATCGTTTACTTTCTTTGTTGCCCCACATATTCCAAAGGAAAACGACATTTATCACATCATAGTAAAATTAATTTATTCAAACCAATTAAGGAATTTAATACATCCCACAGAATATAAAAATGTCAGATATTCTCCTGGCTGAATATACACTGAAGCGTGCTCTGCGTGAGCATACAACAGATTTGGCACCAACAAGCAATCCACACTTATTATGCACACCATTACCTAAACACTGGCGATCTAACAAATCATTGCCTAGTCAGTTTCGTGTAGTTAGTTTAATTCCGGTACCGGATGGTACACGTGTAACAGTGACTGCAGGCAATGAAGAACGACCATGTGCTGAATTAAAAAATCCAGTTACAGTAATGCATGGACATGAGGCGAGATTCAGTGATCTGCGATTTCTTGGTCGAAGTGGTCGTGGTAAGTACTTCGTTTTTGCATTAATTTATGTCATTTCCCACATAAATTCAAATTTACCTGTAATGTTAGTTTGCTTCATCGGTTTTCTGCTTGTATCATTTACTACAAAGCTGTTTGTTTCAAAAGTAGAATTTTAAAAAGATTTCTGTATTACTGCTAATTCGATACCATGAGTCAGTGTTCCCCATTTCTTCCATATTCCTATTTCGATGAATGAAAATGAAAGAATCAGCTTACATTAGTGTTAGAAACCTACGCTGATGGTGACGTCATTTATACTACTGAAAATTCTATTTATCAGACCATCAGACTGTCAGTAATACAACTAATAAATCTTAAATTTGATTAGTATGTCTTGCTTAGGCCATTGTGGATGTAATAACACAAATAAATATGATAGAAAAGCGGTCCCAAAAGTTCCAGTCGATATGACGTTTTAAATGGGTGAATAAACGAGTTAGAAGAGGAGGTGAAGTAGTGAATCTCTGGTCTAGTTAATGAAGGAAGGAGGAAGATGGTGTAAAATAAAGTAGATGATAAAACACAAATATCAGTTACATCTCACCAGTATGAACAGAAATGTCATGCGAGAAGGCATCTGTAGTCCGATAATTGAAGTGTGATTCGATTCAACCCTTAGTGTGACATCGGTTTCTACGGTAATCGAATAGTTTGTTCGCTTTCCATCAAGTCCAAGTAGTAAAATATTTGTCAGTTTCAGCTAAAGCATGTAATTAAAAAGTTAAAGTGAAGACAGAATTAATGTCATCTCCAACTAGTTTCAATAGTCAGTAACATTTAATAGTAAGCAGTAACTATATTTGTGTATATATTTTTATTCCAAAGTATTGCAGTGTGTAGAATCCAGCAGACATAGTTTTCTTCCTTTTCGAATGATGTACCGTCTCCAGACTGGACTAATATTTATATGAATTCGGAATTTTAATGATTCACAAGAAAAAAATGGCTGGTGTCAGACTTTTTTTTGGCTGAAAGAAGCAATTAATAGGTTAAAACCGACAGAAAAGTTGCAGTGTACCACATAATATCAGATCATGCTAAATGGATAGTCGATTCTGTATCTGCAAACCAATTATATTGATAAATTAAGACAAGATAATATCACCGAAAACAAATTTGTTCTCTAAAGTCTTTCTTCTTTTGTAATTCAACAGGAATATCCAAGTCCATGTAATATATAATGTTACAGAAGTAAATAAAAATCTAGAATAAAGTGTTCCATTCAAATTAGTACATTGGATTTTTCCATTTGATCTAGGCTTGAAGACATTGAAGAATCATGTCTTTACTACTGTTAGTTGAGACTAGTTTCATTAAGATTTGTTGTGTGACCTCGAACCTTGGAAGTAAAAAGAAGTAGTTGTCTGCATGTACTTTTATATAACAAGATCTTGTGGACATGTAATCAGTAAAATGTTGGCCAAACTACTTAGTTCGAAGAAATTAAAACTTCCTATACTGTTTTATTATTCTAGTTGAACGCCTTTGGAGACAGTATAGAGAGAGCTTTAATTGTACAGAGAAAAGTGAATACGAGTTAGATTATCCTCGTTTTAGCAAAACACAGGTCATCCTTCCACCTAATTTTAGTCTTGTCAATTACTAATGCAGTCTTTCTTTCAGTATGTGGGAATGACTAGTTTGTAGAAGTGATGCAACTAAGTCATCCCATACTACCGGTAATTTTTTCATTAAAACATTCGAAGTAAACCCTTCCGCATTAGGGATAGTATCAGTATTATCGTTTACTAATGTAAGTTCCGTAAATAATTACAAATATCATCATAGTATATGAAGTAAACAGTCATACCGAAGCTGACAAGCGGTGTAAATCAAGATTCAGCACGGGTAATTACCACTTATATGAATATCATCAGGTCAACTGTGAAACTTCATTTCACTGAGACTATTTTTCAATGTAGAAAAATCTGATTTATCGATTGTATTTTAATTGATTGATAGGTTGTTTACTACTCGTTTGTGAAAACCCCAAGCATGTACCAGTTTTTATGTACTTATCCATCAATCACAGGTAGATGTACATGTATGTACATGGGCATATGAATCCACTTATATGTACGTATATTGTCATGTTGTTTACATCATATTGTATCGAATACCTTGAGCGTGTAAGCTGACAATTAGCGGTATTAATTTATAATAAACTATTTATTTACATTGAGGATTATCATTATTACCTGCGTTTCATTATGTACTTAGGCTTATGACCACATAAGTGATGCACATTACAATTATCACATGTGAAAAAACCATAATTTCAACAGGAATGTCCGTATAGATTCAACTAATTTTTTACAAAAGGAACGGAAACTTATTGTTCATAAATGATTGCAGTAAACATCTCATTTTGAATTAGTTCATGAAACACAGATGAGTAGAAATGAAATTCACTTAATTTGAGATGCGAAATTTCATTCTGAATTTATATTATCGACGCACTCATTCATATTGTTTCCTTTGATATAGCCTGAATTTTTATACACACACTGTTGATATAAACTCACTCACTCACCAGTGACTGGATTAGATAGTATCGGGGATTTATCTTACAGTAGAATGATACTTTTTTTACTGTTGACTAGGCCAATCTCATCAGATTATTAGTTTGGGCTTTTTTCTTTTACACACATAGTACCACAGATGCTTACACTGAACTCGAAGACTATTTGGAGATGATAAAATAATTGACTAACGCTAGAGTCTTCTTGAATCATTTTTAAGTATCATTAGAGAAATAATTTATACACTGATTTATTACTGTTAGGAGGTAAGCAGTATTAACTGTAAAATGCATAAGATTTAGAGTTTACTATCCTTGTCCTTGCATTCTTGAAGTGTATGCTATCAAATCGCCCTCATGTTGATTTATTTTCATGAGAACAGAAAATAAAACTGACTAGTGCAAATATTTTTCATTCTCTTGTGATAATTTGTTGAGGATTTGTGATAACCACAATAATTATTTCCTCATTGATATGCAAAATACCTTAACTGTTGACTAATAAATACTAATTTTGGAAAAGGAAATATAATGAATAATGATTGTTCTTACTGATTGTATGAGGATTTCATTCTTATTTAATTTACAGTACATTCTAAGATGAAAATCAGATCGAATTTTAAGACCTATATTTTCCACGGATTTGGTAGAAAGATTAGTTTATGATACCTTTATTTAGGCAGTTTTTGAAAAAGCGAATACAATCCCAAGAGTGTGGATGGATAGTTTCAAGATACGATTAATTCCTTCAATGAAACAAAGCAGTTCAGTATCACTTTGGTGCATAGACATCTACTTTGAAATCAAATAAATTTCTTTCTGAAATTTTTGCTGATGACATTGTCTAAAATGACAATGAAAGTTTCACGATTAGACCATTCAGCTCAGAGAAAACAGCACCATTGAAATAAACTTTACTTAACTATCATATTTCGGTACACGGTGAGATAATTCATCCATCCCACTAATGTTAACCAACAAATATATATATATATATATATATATATATATATATATATATATATATATAGCCTACTTATACAATATAATATTTACTAAAGATTCACTCAAACAACAGAAATTCTGTTTGATTCTCATTCATGAATCGAAGCACGTTTGAATTGTTTTAATACCGACGAGGAATTTCTCAATTAGTAGTCGTTAGTTTTAGAAAAATATAGAGAGTGATGAAATTACAGTATCTAACAAAATAAGCCGATGAGCAGACACAAAGAAACATATCCAGATCCAGTGCGATCCCTTGAAAAACAATCTATCTATTTTTGGCTGAGCAAATTTATCTCTTAATGACGATTTTCCGAAAAAAGTCTGAATAACATTTCTACCTGTTTTATCATTTTGATATCACTGCATACTTTTTAAAGCAATGAGCAGCAATACCGGATAGAAACTGAACAAATGGGTTACATAATTCAGTTAGAGAAGTGAGTCGACTTGTTGACCACTGATCACTGAGTACTTCAGAGGGGAGGAAACAAGTAACAGATGTAAAGAAATTAACTGAACATCACACTACTGTAAGAAGAATTCCGGTTGTAAAGATCAGTCGAAAGAAAAACCAGTTGTTCAGAACAAGAATAATTTGAGCTAATAATTATTTTCAATAACTTCTTCAGGCTCTACAGTTATAAATCCATGAGAATAAGTGAAATACAGTAGCCGAAATAAGGCATGATGTACATTTTCGAAACCCATTGCACTAAGTTATTAAAAATCAATTAACTTATTTTTAACAATCCTCACTACTAAACTACGTATTGAATCACGTAACCTCGTAACTGTTTTTGAGGCACTCCATCTACGTTGAAAATAGGTTACGATTCACAATGAATACCTTCGTGAAAGACTCTGTTACATCACTTGTTAACACTGACCTTCACAGTTCGTTAAAACTGTGCAAACACTTATAGGCGTCAGACTATAGCTGAACCTTTGAAGTGATCTCATCTCATATTTAAGTTAGTGCTGATGATATGGTCTAGAAAGACAACTAAAGCGTCAAGATTAAATCACCCAACTCAGAGAATACAACACAACCAAGATCATCCACATGAACCACAAATATTCTCCATCATTAACCAAACCTCTGGTTTCCCATTGGCCTAGTGGATAACTCTTTGGCGTTTGAAGCAATGGGTACTGTGTTCAAGTCTTAGATTCCACTGCTAGTCATCAAAGGTGAATACTAAGTTTTGACGGAATGGAAAAAATATTAGGAATGAAGATTCAGTTTTGACAGCACCATTATCGCAAAGTGTAATCCTTACAAGTTGACATTCAGTTTGTGAAATTCATTCAAATAAATATTCCAACGGATGATTTTAGAAATATAAAGGAAGTATACATAATCTTGGATCTTTAATGGATACTAAATGAAGATTTACCAGTGTAAAAAATATACAGTTTTAAAACAGATAACTGTAATTGACTGAAATAA